GACAGGCAGCAAGACAGACCGAAAGAAAGAGAGCGAGAGAGCGCGTTAGTGAGCGCGCGCTGCAGCGAGCTTAAGAGAGCGCGCTTGCAAATGGCGTATTGCATAATTTTGTGCAACTGAGCTTCGTGTAGGTGCCATAATTTGTGTGTGCGTGTGTGTGTGTGTGTGTGTGTGTGTGGCATTGGCTTTTTATGCAGAGGCGCATTTGGCCTTGGTTTTCAAAAATTGCTGCAGAATTGCGAGAATTTCTCGAGGGATGGCAGAAAAGCGCGCAAAAAAAAATTGAAAAGAAACATAAAAACAATTTAAATAAAAGTATAAAAAATAAGATGAACAAATAGGTCAAAATAATGGGAATCTAAACTGTAGTAAAAATGGGAAGGAATATAAAAGAAAACTTAATAAGAAGGGTAAATTCAAATAAAATAACAGAAATCAACAATAACATAAAAGGAAATTTTAACATAAACTCAAAATATGTGAAGAGCGTTAATTTTGAGATAAAAATTAAAAGAGGGAAATTTAAAATCAAATAACAGCAATAAAAAGTAACAAACAGGGAAATTTTAACATAGACTGGGCTCAAAACCTTTTACTTTTTCCCGTTTTAAAGATTATTTTTAATGATACGAAAATCTTGTTATTAAATAAAGAAAATAATATAGTTTAAGCAATGATTCATCGATGAAGGTGCGGTGTTTAGATATGTATATTGAGGTCTTTCCCATATTGAGGAGAAATAATTATTTAACAATATTATTAGCTGTTAAAAATTTGAACATTTCCTGCCCAAAACGATCTAATTTACGTTTCCTGGCCCGCAAAATGGCCCCGGCACGAAATGAATCAGTAAATAAACCAATTAAACGAGCACACACACACAAACGCACTCAGGGCCAACATTAAAAATGAAAATGAATAGCCGGCGAATGCATTTTCCATGCAAACATTTCCACATGATTGCGCCCAGTCGAATGAAAATTGTTGATTAATGTGCAAATAAGTGAAATTCAATATTATTTGCACAAGTGCAAAATGCAAATGGCCATCGAAAAAAAAAAAGAAAAGCTAATGATGTGCGACGGCTTACTTGACGTATGCTTAATATGCTTATTATATTTCGAAAGCTACGCTAATCCCCTAATAATTGCAGCTTACAAAACTCCATAGGTTTTTCTAGATTGCCTGCTTGAAACAAGCAAAAGAGTGCCCCTAATGGGGCCGCAAAACAAAAACAAAACAAAAAGTAAACAAATGTGCGCTAAGAGCAGCCATTTTGACATAAGAGAGCGCCTGCTGAAGAGAGCGTGAGCGAGAGAGAGAGCTTTAGCGGCCGCAGGGGCAATGGCGGCGCGCAAAGCTCTCACTGTAGCCGGTGCTGTTTTTGCGCTGAGCAGAGCTGTTACCGGTTTTTTGCGCGACGTCAGCGGCGCAGCATAAGTAGGAAGGAAACGAGCTGTGGCGCACATGTGTGTGTGTGACGTCGCGACGTCGCTGCCGTCGTCGCTGACGCTGCTGCTGTTGTTGTCGTTGTTGGCTGTGTGAATATGTTGAGGCAGGTCCTGGCTAAAATAGGTACAGCCAACGAACTGCGCGCAGACAGAACGCGACCCTTGTATGCATGTGTGTGTGTGTGTGTGTGCTGCTGCTGCTGTTGCTGCTACCACCAAAGAATCATGTGGCAGGCCAATGGGTGAAGACACAGCAGCATTTTGGCAGCGTCTCGCTGCTGTACATATGTATGCAACAACAGCAACAAGGAACAGCAGGCACAACAAACATGAGCAACATATAGCCAAAACACACGATAGATACAGCGACACACACACACACACACACAGTTACGCTCAGCTGCAGCAGCGCAGTCGCTGCAAGCAGACGCTGCCAACGCTCAGTCGCATTTCAGTTTCAGTTTTTTGTTGTTACGAGGCATTTGCCGTTCAGGAAGCGCAACGCCAAGTTGCCCAAAAGCAGCTAAACTAAAGCTAACAAATACACACACACGCACACACACACACATATATATATATATACATAGCCAATATATAGCTATAAAGCTATATGGCTATATAGCTATAAAGCTTTATGTGGCCATATAAGAGCTACACTTTTGGCCGTTAGTTTGTGTGCGTTTTTTTTCACGCCAGATTTTAGCGTGTTTTTTTAGTTTGTTTGTTTGTTGTTGTTTTTTGTGGCATGCATAATGCAGTCTCTTTGTTGCAAATTGAATTGCAGCTTGCAACGCGCAAGCGGCTTACGTGGCCGAAATCTTACGAGGATTCAGACAAATATCAAAATAAAGTCAAGTTAAATCAAAGCAAAAAACAAAAACAGCTAAAAAACTTGCTTTTCCATTCTATTTACAGCTGCAACAAGAGAGGCAACACTTGGACAAAGGATATTTATTGGAATTTCCGCAGTGAAAGCACAGATATATATATATATTTAATTTTTCTCAATTATAATAAACATTTGGCTCTTTACAGCTTTACATTTAACAACAATTGCAAATTGTTAACAACAGGCGTTAAATCGAACGGAATTTGTTTAGCCGGAATCGAGAAATGGTGCATACTCAAATATGGACCATTAACAGAAACCCGTAAATCCGAACTTGTGCTGTTTTATATCTGTTACAAGACCGGCATTATGGGAGTCTGTCAATGCAAACAACTGGTTTTTGGCAACAAAACACAAGGCAGACAGCTACAAATTAATCGAAACATAAAACATTAACAAAATGATTAATGCAAGGCATCGCAAAATAGTCAACAAATCTATTTCGAAGCACAGAAAACACAGGCAATTTCAACAAAAATGTGACACAAAAACCAACAACAATTTTACAACAAATAACATTTATAACAATAATAACAATCTACAATAAACAATAAACAATCGCAGCTATAAAATGCACAATATAATATTATATATTATTATTTAAATAACGCTTCATTCATAAATTAATTATAAATATAATTTTCTTAATTTCAATTTTTTTTTAAATAAAATATATATATATAAGTAATTAAGTAATACAAAAAAATATTATTTAAATATTAATATTAATACATAAACGAGTTATTAATTAATACTAAAATTATTAGAATTTTATAAATAAAAAAAACAACATACATAAACAATATCAAAAGATGCTCAAACAAATAGAATTAAAAAAAAAGTGAATAATTTTCAAATATAAATAAGTAAAAAAAAAGTTATTCTTAAATATTACGCGACAATAAATAAAAAACAATATTAAAAATATACTAAATAATTAATAAATAATATTAAAAAAAATACTCAATAATTAGCAAACATTATGCAAATTATAAAAAATATTTAACAATTGAAAAGTGCAGAGTGCAAAATATTTATATTTTTATTAAATTATTATTATTATTACATAAAAATAAATGAAATGAAATTTAAGATCTTCAAAATAATATTAAAAAAGAAATTGAAAATTTTTAGAAAATTGCATATTACAATGCACGCTTGTAAATAAATATATATAAATAAAATAAATAATAAAAATTAAAAAATTAATAAATAAATAATTAAAATAATATATGACAAGAAATAGTTAACAGCTAAAAGCAATTTATTTAAAACAAAATAAATATTAATATAATAAAAGGTATAGAAAAAAATATATTATTTAAATGTACGCTAAATCAATTAATTAAATAATAAAAAAAAACGTTAATCACATAATATTTTAATAATTTAATCGTCTATTAAAAAGCTTTCAATTTGTTTGTGTTAATAATTTTAAATCAATTTTGAAACAAGATTTCTATTCGTATAAAATTGTGTTTAAAATATTAAAAAAAAAAAAAAAAATTAAAAGCAATCATTTATTTATTTATTATTAACAAAATATTCCGTTTACTGCAAAAAAAAAAAACATTTATTATTATAAATAATATATTATCAATTATAATAATTAATTAATTAATTTAACTTACCAAAAAAAAAAACAAAAACATTTCAATCAAAAACTTATTCCACTTTCTTGCCATTTTTTTTTTTTTTTGTTTTTTCTTAAATATTTATTTGCACGAAACGTCAAGTCAATCAAATGATCAGATCATGACAAATCGAAAAGCCTCAAAACGTACGACAAAAACCAACAACAAGAAGCCAGCAAAAAGGACAAAAAGGACTACACCAAGGACCTTTTTCTCTCTGGCAAATTGAGGTAGTAGGTTGTATAGTAGTATTTATAGAGCATACTATACAGCGTGCTAGCTTTCTTTGCTTGACTATAAGCCGCAATAGAAAACCAAGCCACAACCCCTACACACACACACACACACACACACACACACACTCACACACACTCACACGCTCTCCATTAAGCCAAAGCCAGCCATACAAAGTGTTGTGTGCGTGTGTGTGCAAGTGCCTCATTAGCTTCAATTAATAATAGAGAGAATCTCACTCGCATATATATATACTCATATATATACATATATATATATATATTACACATTGGTATTAGTGACATGTGCAAATGTTTGTATGGCTGATTCCCTGAGACCCTAACTTGTGACTTTTAATACCAGTTTCACAAGTTTTGATCTCCGGTATTGGACGCAAACTTGCTGATGTTAGTAACAAAAAACAAAAAAAAAAAAGAAAACAAAGAACTACGAACAATCCAAACTGTTGGACAATTTCATAAAAGGGTTGGTAAATAACTAGAATACTATCTATCAAGGAATTTCACAAAAAAAAATTCATTTTCAAAAGTTTTATTTAGCTCCAAGAAAAGATGTCAGGATAATACGATCTGATATTGTGTTCCGCTATTGTGAATATATATTACTGTGAGTATGAATATTCTTATCCTCAAATTCAAGCAAAAGTTAAATTAATATGCATAAATTTATTACAGATCAGAAGGTCGTATATATATATATATATATATATATATATATATATAAATCCATTACAAGGAAATATGTAAGATATGTAAGGTTGGCTCAGAGGAGAGAAGTCTACATTATAATTCAATATTAATATTTAAGGTTCCTGCAATTTGTAACGCATAGAAGAAGTTATCTCCAACTTCATAAAGTATATATATATTTCATATTAGCATCAACAACCGAGTTGAAAAAGATATAGAATTGTTCGTCTATCCGTATTGTTCACATCTCCAAGGGTAAGTCTTCACCGTACCGTAGATATCCTAAAGCCTTGCAGGAGATCTGCCTTTGCAAGACACATGAAACATATCTTGGTACATTTAATCTCTTTCCTCTTGAATTGAGCGAGCTTATCCCAAACACATCTAGACATAGCCGCATCAGGCAAAAGGTATAATTATTCTTGATTCATGTCGGCAGTTGACTTAATATACCTATATCTTCCGGTACGTCTGTCTTTCCATCTTAAAGCTGTCACAAAAACGTTTGTTTTTTTTATATATATATTTAAAGAATTGGAATTGAGTAATTTCGATATGCTGACAAATCTTATCAATATCGAATCACTCTAAAAAGTCTTTTAAAAACGAATTTTCTTATATAGAAAAAACTTGTTATACTTTTCAAGAAGTTCTATCTTGCTTCTCAGAATGTATATTATTTGGCTACAAAGGGTTTTTTAATTTATTGAAAAGATATAAAAATTAAAAACGGAGCTGTTTGTCTGCATCTCTCGAATCTTCCGGGTCTGATAACATATTGGACTTTTGCACTTGACTCGAGAAATGCAAATGGCTTGTGTGCTTTTCGCAGCTTGAACTGATTGAGAATCGCAAGCGTCAAGCAGCGACAAAAGTCTTGTAGCCTTATGTTTACAGTTCCGCTCAATTGGGCTTCATTCTTATGTTCTAGTTACAACTGATGCTTTCAGCCAACACGAAACACAACTCATTCAATTGACTTATTAACAAACATTTATTGTGAACTCATAACTGAGTTATCTGTTATCTTTATCTGTTATCTATTAACTGATACCATGCACAACAGGCATTAGAATAAAGCTAATGCAAAAGCTAAGTTTATTTCTATGAAAGTTGATGTGAGCTGAACAATTGCATTGTTTTCGAAGAAATTAATTAATTATAGTAGATAAAGCAAAGGTTGGGCAGCTGCTTCCTTCACTGATGCGTGCACTTGTTGTCCTTCAGTTTCTTTTTACGATCTTCACTTGAATTCGATCGGCGCGTACCCTGAATTGGCATATAAGGCGGCGTGGGGCTGGCGCTTTGATCTACACGGTAAAATATATTAATTTAAACATATAGCAATCGATTTCAGTGAGGCCTTTAAATACATATATACCAAAGTTGCCGGACTTGGAGTACTTGAGATGCGGTCCGACATCGTGGCCGCTGGACAGCGTGCTGTCATGGGAGCCCGCCTCCGAGCCAAAGTGCTCCGAACTGGAATAAATGCAGTTTTGAGGAACAACTTTGAAAGGATTCATAATTCAGGGGCTTACCGCGTCATGGAATTGTGCTGCTGCACGGACTCCGCGGCCAGGTGCAGTGAGATGGGCCGCTGAGCGCCGTGTCCGCCCGGCCGACAGCTGTCCACGGGCAGCGTATAGATGTCATCCTCGCCGCGTGTCAGACTGCTGGCTGCCGCCGCCGCCGCCGCCTGTCGCTGTTGCCGCTGCATCGAGCCGCCGTGCGAGGAGCCGCTGTCCCGCCCGAGACTGCCATTGGTCAGGGTGCCATTGGGCTGGCGCTGCTCGCGGCTGCTGTTGAGCACATCTATGGGATTCGAATAGGCCTCCACATCGATGTCGGCTGGCGCTTGTGCGGCGGACAGGCAGTCCTGTGGCAGCGCCAGCAGCGGGCCGCAATGTGAGCCGTTCGTGCCGCAAAGCAGGCTGTTCACCCCGTTGCCAGCGCCGCCGCCAGCTCCAGACTCCTTCTGCTGCGATTTGCGCAGGCGCGCCTTCTCCTTGGCGCGCTTCATTTTGGCTTTCTCCTGCGGATTGATTTAAATGGGATTTAGTTGTAAATATTATATATACTTTATACCATATACTAAATATATGTACTATTGAATATAACTAAACATGAAAACAATTATACTTTGGAACAAAATGTATAATAATGCAAGTATTTTTTATGAAGGCATATAAGTATTATATATATGTGTGTGTGTATGTATGTATGTGTGTGTGTCAGTGTGCATATGTATATGTATGCAAACATATGTTTGTTTCTAATACCAAACGCAGACCAAGTTTATTTGTCGCTACGCCGCAAATTTAAATAAAACGAATTTTTACCAAGTGCTCTCCTCCTCGATTCTCAATAACTCAGGTAGGCCCCGTAGGTTTTCATGCTTAGCTAATAAGTAGTATTTGTTTTTTGGTGATTTTTTTTTGGTGTTTTTTTTTTTGGTGGTGTTTTGTTGTATGTATGTATGTATGTATGTATGTATGTATGTATGTATGTATGTATGTATGTATGTGTGTATGTACGTATATATATATGTATGTATGTATGTATGTATGTATGTAAGTAAGTAAGTATGTATGTATGTATATATGTATATATGTATGTATGTATATATGTATGTATGTATGTATGTATGTATGTATGTATGTATGTATGCATGTGTGCATGTAAGTATGTGTGTATGTATTCATGCATGTATGCATCTATGTATGTTTGTATGTATTTATGTATGTATGTATGTGTATGTATGTATATATGTATGTATGCATGTGTGCATGTATTCATGCATGTATGTATGTATTTATGTATGAATATATGTGTGTGTGTGTTTATGAATGTATGCATGTTTGCATGCTGGAATGTTTGCATCTATGCAAAAAAACATGCATACATGTATATGCAGAAATGCACACAAACATACAAATGTTTCTGCATGCATGTTTATGTGAATACATGTATATGAATGTATATATGTATGCGTGTATATATGTATGTGTGCCTGTGTGTAGGTATCCTTGCGTGTTTTCATACATGTACGCATGCATGCATGTTTGCATATATTAAAAAAAACTTGCATACATGCATGCATGTATGTACAAAGAGGCCCAAAAAATCTTTGAATCGCATTTCTACCGAGAAAGCTTGGATTCTACAAAAACACACATCTTTGTGTTTCAGTCAGTCAGTCACGACAAACAGTTTTATATATACTTAGTACCTCCAATAATCTATATAGACAGAAGCCGAAATTTCCCACCCCCATAACTCGTTCAAAACTCAACCAATCATCAGAAGGTTTGCCTCTTTGTTCCAGTTCCTAAATCTTCAATAAGGTAAATACTCTGAACCAGCGTGTCTAGCTACCATAGTTCCAAGATATGGCCAAAAAAGTCTCATCCAAAAATCGATAATTATCGATTAAGTTTAAACGCGCTGAGCTATCGAACCAATATGATTTTTGATCAGCTGCTAGCATCATCAGGCAACATAGCTAATCTTATCTAGGCAGAGATAAATCCAATGTTTTATTACCTTAACTGCAGAAATTTTTTGTTTCCGTAATTTGAATATATTTTTTCCGTACTAGAAATTTAGTTGGCAGATCATAAGGGACATTAAATTAATTCAATTTAAGAAATATTGATAAGCTTTGGCTTTTTCTACTTAACACCAAAAACAATATATTTATTTAATTTATGCAACTTACGCGCTCTTGCAGCATCTTGGCCAGTTCCTTGTCCTGCGCCTCGATGGCCAGCATGCGATCGCGTATCTCCTGCCGCACGCTATCCTTGCTCTCGATGGCCTGCAGGCGACGCGCCAACAGCTGCAATAAACGAAAGAACATGAATGACATGTGACATGTCTAGATAATTTTTCAACTGCACCTCATCCTTCTGCTCCTGCTTGAGCTTCTTGCTCAGCTCGTGCAACTCCTCCGGCGGCAAACCAATTTCGCGCAGGCTCGCATAATCGCAGGGATCCACATATAGCTCAATGTCATCGGCATGCTGTTGCATGTGCCGCTCGGCGGCCTTCGCATTGCCCAGCGCAAAGTTGCCCACCATTTGATCGTACTTCTCCGGCGATAATTTCTGAAATTTGGGTTCGGTACGCAGTAAGTTCTCGTGTGAGGCTGAACGTGGCGGCATGGCCGCATCACCAATAGTTGCTGCTGTTGCTGCTGCAGCGGCTGCTGTTGCTGCTGACAGGCCGCGTATGCTGTCAGCAACATCGGCATAATCCACCAGCTCATCATGATTGATGTGTGTAGGTGTCGTGTGCTGGGATGAGGTGGTGCTGTGCAATGTGGATGGAGCTGGTGCTAGGCGACGTGCTGATTGATGTGCGTGTTGCTGGCGTGACTGTTGCTGTGCCGTAGTTATTGCTGTTGCTGTTGCTGCTGTTGTTGGCGCGTGTTCAGCATCACTCACCAACAGCTGTTTGGGCGGTGCATGTGTTGGGTGTAGTCTACTGTGTGTTGTTGCTGCTGCTGGCATATCAACAATATTTGGTATAAGCGAGAGTCCTACATAGTTGTCTGTTTGTGAAAAGTGTTGCTGCTGCAGCTGCAACGGTTGCTGCTGCTGACTGAGATATCTAGCTTGCTGTGAGGTGCTGGGCTCAAGGCTGCCATTGGGTTCGTGCTGTTGCAGCTGTTGCTGTTGCTGGCGTATACTTGCTTTGGCTGGTCGCGGCGGCGGGCGGCTCTTGTCCCGCGTTGCTGGCGGAGGCACGGGCGGCAGATTCACATAGATTTCCTGCAATGCATGGAGAGATTTTCAACATAACAGCTTAAATATCACAACAGCAAAGGCATTTTAATACCCAATACCAGGAGAACACAGCGCGAAATGCCAGGCTTAGGAATTTGTGCTTTGAACTAACAAGCGTAAGGTCGCCGGCTCAACTACAGCAGGCTGAAATTGGCTCAGACGATGCCAGGTAACTTATTGTAATAGTGCTTAAACATATATTAATATTTGTTTGGCTGATAATGAAAAAGAAACAAAATTTGGCTTAAATCTGTTAACAATATACCATATCGATCGATTTTAACCAAGCCTTAGGATCAGCCTAGTTTTCTATAATCTAGCTTCATATTCATATTAATTCATGGTTCGTAGCTTGGTTCATCTACTTTCTTCATGTATTCAAAGAAAATATTTACTTTCTATTTTATAATTGTTGATTCAAGCTCGAATTTATCATAAATAAAATAAAAAGTGAAGTTGCTGGTTCAAATCATTATGGCTCATAACCGTTTTGTCGCCTCGAGAGTTTCCCAAACCCCTGTCACGTATCGCATCTATCTAATATCCCATTTAATTTCTCCATTTTCCAGATTTCTTTCCCAATCTCTGTGAACGCACCTGCATTTTCTGTGCTATTAGCTCGCTTTGCTGCAGCTCCTTTTGCTGCTGTTCCTGCAGATCGCGTTCCAGCTTGTCGGCAATTTCTTTGGCAATGCGTTTATCGTGCTCCTCCCTGCCAGATAAAAGAGAATATTAAGCACAGAATATGGAAAAAATTGAGCATTAAATATTTACTGTTCGGTGAGGCGTCTCCTGTAGGCCTCCACCTGACGCTGGGCCTGTTCTGTTTCCTTGATTTGCTCATGCAGAGCCGTGGGGAAATCTTCGCGCACCACCGCGTTCCTATAGCGATTGCCCTTATAAAAGTCGTTAACTGCCGAGTTAGAGGAAGAGAGAGAGAGAGAGAGAGAGAGAGAGAGAGAGAAAGAGGGAGAGAGAGAGAACAAAGAATTAAAATGCAATCTAATGCTATGAAAGGTCGAAGCACTTACTCTCCTGGGACTGCAGCTTGTAGGCCAGGGCGCCGTCCTCACGCACGAGCCATTCCTTGCAAACTGAAACGGGAGAAACGGAGGAGATGCTTAAGTTATTAAGGCTCGCTCTAATCACATTTTGATGGCTTGGCCATAAAGTGGCAGCTGCCCAGCTTGATTGCATGTCATAAAAACCGAAGAAGAGTGGAGAGTGCGCGACTATGAGGTACCCTGTGTCAGATATTCATGCATAAAAACCCAGCCCCATAGTTTAGGAACTTCTTTCTGCAACTACTTGCCTTAGAATTTACAAATAAATTAGATTTTAGTCCGTTTTTTATAAAAATTTTCAGATCTCTAGCAAAGCGCAGTTATACCACAAATCACATGACACTTGAGCTTAAAATCAATCGATCGATATTTATCGATTTCATTTAAATGAGAAGAGATATCGATAGTTTGCAACATGAGGTGGTTATCGACTGCAGGAAAATATCAAAAATATCGAATAAAGCATGTTATCGATTTGAGTGGAAATGGCATAAATATAGATAATTTGAACATGCGGCTGTTATCGATTCGATAGACCTTAGAAGGAATAACTATCGATATTTTGTAGCATGAGGATGTTATAGGCGTTCTCGATTTCAGGTGAAAATATCGATAATTTGACGCATTACGTTGTTATCGACTTTAGAGATAAGGGTTAATATATCGATAATTTAAGACATGAGGCTTTAATCGGCTTTTTCGATTATCGGAAAATCGGAAGAACTATCCCTTATTAAAAGAAAATGTAAAGTAACTAGCTTTTATGGCATATAAAGACAGAAAATCATGGCTAGAGTTAAGCGAGTCTTTACTCAACAGTCTTTTCCATAGTCAATATACCCAATTTGAATTGTTACAGGGTATAGCAAATGAATACTTTTATATATATTTATATATTAAACGTCAACTGATATTAAATGCATGCCCCCAATCACTGACCCTATCAAATTACCCAAACCCAATCGGAATCTAATGAAGCACCGCAAGAGCATATTATAATCTCGTAAGAGACCAGAAAGTAATAAAAACCCGATGAGTCACGTCTTCAGATTCGAGTAGCTAAGGCCAGGTGGGCGGGGGCGGGGCGAGCAGCGGGGCAGGGGCAGGAGGCAGGGGGCAGGGGGCAGGGGGGAGCAGCAGCAGCAGCTTAAACAAAGGCATTCCATTGAAGATGCACATGCTCGTCGCACTTCACGGAAATGCAGCTGATGCAGCTCCAGATACGCTGGAGTGGGTCTAGAAGGGAGGAGGGACTGAGGGGGGGGGGGTGCGGGACTTGTAACTGCAGCGGATGTCAGCTTTTGATCGATTTGATGGGGCACTAAGATCTTTGCCTGTTGATAAGCGAAAGCGTGGCACACAAATAAAAAAAGTACTTTTAATTATGTGTGTGTGTGTGTAAAGAGAATTTTGTTGATTGTCAGATTATATTTAAGCAGCAGCTGTTGTTGTTGTTGTTGTTGTTGTTGCTGTTCTCTGTCTGTGTTTATGCCTCGCTGTCATTTATCATTAGTCCCGGAGTAGTTGGTAATTGGTTGGCTTTGGGGCAAGCTCTATAGACTAAACTCTGTGAATTGTTTGCTGCGGTCTTTTAAAATGGAAAGTGTCAGACGAAAGTGGCGGCAAAAATTAAAGTGTGTACACTGAGAAAAAAAATATTATTAGCTCTATTTCTGTTAGGAAAAAGTCAGGTATGAAAAATTGAATAAGGTTAGAATATGTTCTTGCTTTTTAAAATGTATCTAATATTTAGAAGAAAATGATCGTGAAACAAATTCCTTCAAATTTTCTTCAATATTCCAAGGCGCTTTTGACTAAGATGATACTAAGTCCATAGTCTAGCCTAACATTCTAGACTAGATATTCGTTTGCCTAACTGACCGTAAAAAACATATTTATACCCTTGTAGAGGGTATTATAATTTTGTCATGAAATGTGTGACGAAGGAGACATCTGCGACCCCATAAAGTATATATATTCCATATCAACATCAACAGCTGAGTTGATAAAGAGATATAGATCTCGGATTCAGACGGATCGAACCACTATATCATTGATCTGCCATAGAACGATCGGTCGAAAATGAGGTTCTTGTATGAAACACTTTTTGTTTATTAAGATATCTTGAAAAAAACACGGGATTAGCTTAGTTAAATCTTATCAATATCGCAATATAATCTTCAATATAGAATAAATCGTTCAAGAAATGAGTTTTTGTATGCAACAAATATTCTATTATCTATTACGAGCTATACTATTTTTACATTCTGCAAAAGGCAAATGTCTATAAGGATATGAAATCTTAGCTTACCTTCTCGTTTTTTTTTCAAGTTCAACTTACACTTAATAGTCGCCAGAAAACTAGTCTAGTTTATTCATCTACAGTTTGATAAACAATTATTTTTGTTTTCCATTTTTGTTTTTCCAACTAGTTTTGAAAGTCTTTTATCTAGCTATCTAGACGAACTCCACCCTCCCCTTATCAATCTCTGCGTGTGTATATAATTATATGTGACAGCTATTCATTACTTCTTTTGAAATTGTTTCTAGTATCTGACAGTCGTACGTTTCTCTCATTAATTTCATGCAATTTTGACATTTCTTTTAGTTTTCTTTTTCTTCTCTTATCTAGGCACACACTCGCACGCACACTCAGACACACTTGAAGGCGGTCGCGTTAATTTAAAGGTTCCTTGACTTTAAACTGTCAGTCGGCAATTAGCTGAACTCTGACCCGTCGCCGCGCTTAGAAATTAGTTTAGCCCCTAGCTGGCTGAATTATGTGGCCTGACAACAAACTGTCGGCTGTTGCAGTCGCAGTTGCAGTTGCAGGCGCTGCGTTTGCTTAATTAACTGCAATTTGCGGAAGTGCAAGTGCCACACAATTGGGGGCGCCTCCTTCCTTTGCCACGCCCCGCTGCAAACAGCAAAAAAGTAGAGAAAATACTTGCAGCCATAATCAATTTAGCGGCTTGCCTCTGCATTTGATTTCTCACTGAGTGCACTTAGTGTGCAACGGTCTATACAAATGTATCTGTAAATGTATCCGCAAATGTATCTGTATCTGTATTCGCAAATGTATCTGTATCTGTATCCGCAAATGTATCTGTATCTGCCAGTGCATCTGTGTGCTCGGCAAAACTGTATCTGCTGCTGTGCATAAGTATCTTTTTGCTCAGTTGTTGCCCCACTCGATATACGGTTCGGCGTGATTGCTCAGGTTGGCCCCGGACTCGTCTTACACATTTGCGCCGACTTCAGCGTATTCGCATTTGCCCCTCTCCCCCCCTCGCCCCCTCTTCCCCTCCGGCTTGTTCTCCAGCCATTGGCATGTGTTTATTGTGCTTTCAGCATACATATTACTTACAAAGTCTCTTGTGTTGTTCTTTCGTTTGCGCTTTGCGCTTTGCTTTCGCTCTTTATAATGCCCCGCAGAAGCCCAGCTTTGCGTACCCTGTTCAACAAACGTTTGGGGTATGCTAGTTTTATAGTGCGTTTGCCACCGGCTAGTCACAGAAAGTAAGTTGAGCTTGAAATACTTTGGGATTCATTATTATTAATCAATTAAAAACGCAGAGAAAAGCGTTTAAGTAAATTCTACAAAAATTTTTGAAAATGTAAAAAATAATTATAATGGACCAGGAAAATTTTAAATAATAAACTAAGAATTCATTATTTAATAATTTAGTTGCAATATTATTTTTTTAAATCTTGTCACATTCCCTATTTAAGAATATTATTTTTGAACAAAATTTTATGTATTTATATACATAAAGTAATTGATTTGTGATACAATTAAATTTAATTTTAAATATAATTTTTTTATTTTCTTTAATTTTTTTCTTCTTTTTTTTGAGAAACCTCTTGATTTTACAAGAATAATTTATTTGGAATTGAAATCATTTATTTTAGAATTTAGAATTCAACTTGTTGTCATTTTGTTGATATTTTCTATTTTTACAGGGTATGGCATGGCTGTGCATGCCTTGGGCTAGAACCCTAGCACGTTATTATGCACAACGGGCAGCACATGAAAATGGTAAAAATAAGTTAAACTTTGCCTTTGGACTGGTCAGCAAATGTTGAAATCAACTTACAGTACTTTTTTACGCTGGCCGTTAAATAAATATTCAATTTTTTTTGTTGTGCTTTTGTTCGTTTTTTCGTTTTATTTTTTAAGAGTCACAGGAAATGGGCTGGGCAGTTAAAAAATATGGCAAATATGTCTAGGTGTATTGTTTTGTGCGCCTCCAAAGTGGAAAAATAAAGTTTGCAGCTGTTGTCTGCATTTGTCACAAGAAATTTGAAATTCTTTGCATTTCCTGTAAAGGCACACACACACACACACGCACACTTACACTGGCACACACGTAAAAAAACTGATTGATAAGCCAGGTAAATAACTCCATAAAATATTATAATGACAGCTGATTTATTGTGCTTCTTTTGGCGTCGCGTTGTATTGTATGTATTGTGAAATAAATATTTACCTTGCCCCGGAACGGGTTTCTTTTTGCGCCAAATAACAGTTAACCCGAACAACAACAAAAAGTGACAACTATTCTGTGTGTGTGTGTGTGTGTTGCATGTGGCTGCAATGTGGGTCGCCGTCCGTTTATTGAGTTGGCCAAAAAACGAGCGCTCTTGGAACGGGTTAGTAAGTCACCAGAATACGAGTCTCCGGCTCATGCGTCACGCGGCGTTCTCTGAAATTCCAACAGCGAAAAACATTTTTGTTTTTTCTTCTTTTTTTTTTTTTGGCACAGTCAGCTGATCTTGGCACCATGTTGGCTTAGATCTCAGGTGTTAATCTCTGCTGCTTACGAGGCGGAAATTTGAACAATGAGGTGCTTCACAAAGAATTCTGGAAACTCATTTCAGGTTCACAAGAAGGTTTCTTACGATCATATTAATATAAATTATACCTGTTTAAGACAGCTCGAACCTCATTTTTGAACCCTTTTTAAAACACTTATTTAAAAAACTTTTGATACTCATTTTCAGTCCCTTTTTAAAACACATGCGATACT